GTGGTGCGGGGCGGGGCGGGGCGGTGCGGGGCGGATAAGCGCAACGAAGAAGGCTTATAAAGTCGGAGGATGTCCGCGCGCAGCCCCGCCGCACCCCGCTCCGCCACCCACACCGCCACGCCGCGCCACGCCCCGCCTCGGAATCGCCAAAGTTGACATTTCATTGGGCGCACCTGTTAGGACGGCGCGCCGCGTCTCGCCGCGAGATGGCGCCAGGCGCCGGGGGCGCGCGCGCGGGAGTGCGACGGAGACGGGGCGCGCGGCCGGAGCGAGCGAGAGCGGCGGAAGGAGAGAGACGGGCTGCGGCGCGAGCGAGACGCGGCGCGCGCGAGGGAGACGGCGCGCGGGCCGCGACGCGGAGACGGACGGCGGCGGCGCGAGGGCGGTGCGGGCCGCGCGGGGGTGCGACGGAGAAGGCGACGTCGAGGGCGGACAGAGAGGGAGGCGACGGCGGAAGCGGCCCCGAGCGCGAGAGAGACGCCGGCGGCGCAGAGAGAGGCAGCGCAAGACGCAGAGAGAGAGAGAGAGGGACGCCCGCGGGGGGTAAGGGGGTGGGGGCACGAGACTATAAATCCACGTGGTTGCGAACCTTGTGCGCAGGATCGGCGCGGCCGTCCCCCCTCTCTCGCGCCGCGACCCCCCACCACTCGAGCCGGTCTCCGGCGGCGCGGAGTCGCTGCCAGTCGCCGCGCCTCGCCTCGCCGCCCGCTTGCCAAAATCTGGCCGAATTCCGAGGCGAGCGGATCGCTGCCGCTGCCGCCTCGCCGCCCGAGCTCTCGGCCCTCGCCGAGGTTGCACGCGTCGCTCGGCTCGGCTGCGCTAGCTGCGCTGCGCTAGCGCTGGCCCGCCGCCGGGCGCTCCCTGCAGCTCCCCGCCGCTGAGCCACCGAGGCCGGTCCTGGTGGCGCGGCTCGAGCGCTGCGGAGGCCCGCCTGCTGAGGCCTCTCCAGACCGGAGTCGGACCGGAGCGAGGCCGGACAGCCTACCGGAGTACCGCCGGAGCGGACACCCCTGCCGCGCCGGCGTCTCACGTTCTCCCTCGGACATGCGTCGGAAAGCGATCCCCGTCGCCGCGCGGTCTCTGCAAGCAAGAGGTAGCCTCTCATTGCCTCGAAGTGTCACCGAGTGTTGTGCTGTGTCTTGCTAGTTATCCAATGTGATACATAGTGGCCGTCGGCGAGATCTTGTGTTGTGAAGTGAATACCCGCCTCTTTCTGGATTTTTCGGTTTTCCTTCCGAGCTCATCGTTTTGTGTTGTGATGTTTTTGTGCTCGTCACTTTGACGCATTTCCACTCCATACCTGCGAGTGCTGTGATCTGGCATTTCTGGAATGAATGAATGCTGCCACGCGAATGCACAAAAGTTCTTCGTTGGATCGCCGCACCCCTTTGGATTTTACTTTGTGTTTCGTCATTCTCTTAATTTCTTCGTTGGCGGCCAAGTTTTGTGTTTGAAGATCTCTGCCGGCGGCCTATGCTTGGTTTCTTACCATCGCCGTAGAGCTTTGCTAGTGTAGTGCAGTGCATAGTGAAATGGTGAAAGTGTCCAAGTGTCTTATAGTGCAACATCGAGTGCTGTGAGTGTTAGTGTCAAGAAAAATTTTTGCCCTGGGTTTACCCCTTGGAGGACAAGGATTATGTCCCTGGCCATGCCTCCTCTCCACCTGAAGAATGAAGTGATCCCTGCGTGGTTTGAGTTTATTTTTATTTTTATTTTCTCATTCTGTCCGCGTCACTTTCTTGCCTGGTCGAGTGTGTTGAAGTGACAAGTCTCCGGAGGGAAGTTCCGCGTTTTCCTAACCTACTGTCAATAATAAATACTCTTACGTCTCGAATACGACCTGATGTTTTGTAACTTACTAGAAACTGTCAGTAACATTTCGTGACGATGAATTATTTTTTTGGCCTCACGAGGACTTTGTCTTGAGAACTTTGAAAGGCTACGCTGTAACCAACAAACTATCCTCTCAGTTCTCCTTGCTGAGTTATTGCTTTGCTTGAAAACTTAATTCGCAAACGTGTAGAGACAATTTCTTAAATTCGCTGTCATCTCGTCGTTGACGCCCTCAGCAAGAAATCCGCCTGAACGTCCTTCCTTAGTGTGCTAAAACACTTTGCTCGTGTCGCCAGGTGAATATACGCCTCTTGAGCTTTCGATTGATCGGAAGTCTTAGTGTCAAGTGTCAGACACCTGGCTGGTGTCGCTGCCTGGGGTTACTTGTCACTTCCGCGCACTTGTCGCGCCGGCCCCTTGCGCCCTCAGGTGGTTTTCCCTCGACTTTGTCAGTCAATGTGCCCTCTCGCTGCCTTTGGCTTGAAAAGAGAAACGCCTGAAAGTGAGGGAGAAATGTTCTTGCCCCTGACCGTTTGTCTCGTCGGAGAACACTACTTACAAACAAGCGAGTACTTGGAAAATTTTCAAAGCTATTTGCGGAACCATGTCGCATGTGCTCAGACGGCCGGCTCACTTGCTCTGCTTTGTCACCGGGCCGGCAATTCAAAACAATTTATTTTCAAAAGAATGAAAAGGAAAATTGTTGCAGTGGTGATTTGGACAAGTGTTGCTCCTGGGAAGCGCCTGCTCAAGAGGGGCCCGGCTGCAGTGGCCTACGCCCCCTCCCTGTTTCTCCCTCTCTCTTTCATTTCGACTCTCTTATTTTTGCCGTAGACGGTAACAACCACGCCGCCATGCCCCGAGAAGGGCCATTTTCGCCCCCTCCACGCCTTTCTTGCCGCTATTGATATACCATTTCGCCGAGCGCGGCGCGTAGCGGCACTTGCCCCATGGCGCCTCGCCGGCCGAGCTTGCCAGTCCCGCCGCTAGATGGCGGCACGGTCCGGTCGCCAGCGTCGCGCCGCCGCCTCCCCGCCGCCGGTTTGAACTGGCCGTGCGCGTGCGGCTCCGCGTCGTCGCCTTCCTGGGGGGCTCTTCTGGAGGCGCGCGCCCGGGAGGCGTTGGGCAGGTCGTCGACGTCGGGGCGCCCGCCGTCCGCGCCGGGGGCCGTGCGTCGCGCCGCGCCCTTGCGGCCGACGGATGGGCGCAGGTGTATTTCGGGGCCACTCTGGCGGGGCGTGGCGGGGCGTGGCGTGATGTGCTGGTTACCCGCGAGTATTGTGACTTGGCGCCGCGCTGCCCACGCGGGTCGTGTCGAACCTCGCGGTCGGCCGGGCAGTCGTCCGGGCCCCGCGCCCCGCCGGACATCTCGCGAGGCGTGGGCCGCCGCCCAGCTGGGGCCCGATATGCGGACGGCCGGAGCCGGTGGTGATGGTGATCGCTGATGAACGCTGGTGATACCATCTAGAGGGTGAGCAGCAAGTAGAGTCAAGCGCCAGTACTGCTGCTGCCCCGAGCCTTTACCGCCCATCCGGCCGCGGGTCACAGCCGGGCGGGGCGGGGCGGAGCGGCCGTCAGCGCGGTGTCTGGCCCCCGACCGACCGACGTGATGCGTCGTACTAAAAATACACGTTTTGTAGTTAATTCTGCGCGGGAGGCGAAGCTATAAAACTTATAGACAGACAGATGCGCTCCCTGGCAGATATATGGACGGGTAGATAGACACACGGGGCTAAGTTTAGTGTTGATACACCTCGGAGGGGGAAGAG